TACCTATTTCTTCTCCCCACAAGTTTCCACTCCACTTGTATCGTTCTTCTCAAGCTACTGGAGGTGTTGGTTGGCAGGTTTGGTAGCATTTTCCAGAGGAGTTTTGTGATGGATGTTGGTCCAAGTAGCTGTGGTGGACCCTTGGTTTGCTTGTCCATAAGCACTTCTTTTATTTTATCTACTATTTCGTTGCATGTGAGGTGACCGCTAGTCGGTTGTTCTAAGGGTAGCTTGTTTTATTTTTAATTTAGTTTTTGTTTTATCTAGCTTTTGTTTGTTTTGAGGTTTGTGACGTTGGCTTTCTAAATTTTGAATCGAGAAAAGTTTTACTAGCCCTTGTGTTATCCATTTTTGTTTTTCTATCTAGTTGTTTGCATCAAGTTTGGTATCAGAGCCTAGGTTAGCATATCCTAGGTTGGTGTGTGAGTTTTTTTTTAAGTATTTTAAAAAATATCAATCCAAATTGATGCAATCAAAATATTGCAAAAATAGAAAAACTAGTGTCTTCATTTAAAACAAAACATCACTACATCATACAACTTAAAATAAAGGACACAATGATGCAGGCAAAAAATTGGGAAGGGCCCCAAATTTTTGCGAGCAAATGATTCTCTTCCTATAAAATAGAAATGACACAAAAGAACATAAAATACAACTTTTTATAATAAAAGATGACTCTTACAAACTTATATAATTAAAACAAACATCTTAAAACTCTTGACAAACATAAAACACCTAAAGAAGCTTTGCCAAATGTCGAGAAGAAGGATACAGGTGAGGTGGATACTTGCGGGAATAAGAATGAGATTAGAAGCCAAGACGAAGTATAGCTCGCAAGCTATAGAGAGGAGAAAAAGGTGAAGGACATAGCTCGCAAGCAATTCCAAAGAACGAAGAAAAACCTCTCAGGTTTTTATCCAAAAATCACAGTATAACCTCCATCCTTTTTTATCTCAAACCAACTCTATTTTATAAACAAAAGAAGGTAGACAAATAGCCATAACACCTCCAACCAAACCCAATCAAATTTGGGGAAATAAAAGGCCAAAAGTCACCAAATGGAAGACCAAAAGACAGCAAAACAGCAGCATGAATTCTACACAAAAAAACAGGGAAACAGTCCACAAAAAAAACACCAGCAGGCCACGAAAAACCAGCCAGCAAAGGATCCGAAGAGCCAGCACAAGAGACAAGGCAGCAGGCACGGGAAACCAGCCAGCAAGGGAAAACCGAGAGGGAGAACCAGGAGAACTTCAACAAACAGCAGAAACCGAAAAGGCAAAGGGAAAGGGGAAGAGAACCGGCCATGGGGGGAAAGAACCAAGGAGGGGGAAACCAAGGAGTCAAAAGCAAGGGGAATGAACCTAATTAAAGCCAAATTATGAGCTGAAACATAAGTCATAGCAGCTTCCAAAAACCATCCAAAAACTGAGAAGCCAAGCTCAAACCGAGAGGCACCCAGCAGCCCAAGAGCCAAGGCTCACCCCCCCCCCCCCCCACCCCCTTGCCTACATCAGATTCTCCCCCACTTAAAAATACTCATCTCCTGATGAGGAAGCTTTAAATTTCTTCTGAGGAGGCAATGATTGAACCTTAAGCTCTTGAATTTGGCCTTCATATTTCTTCAAGATCTTCTCACGTTCTTGCTTGAATTGGTCTTGTAACAGTTTCTTTTTCATGTACCACTCCGTACACAAATGCATCTTCACTTAGAGCTTGTATAGCTCATTCTGCAGGAGATCTGTCGAATCACCTTCTGTTGGAACCCATATGTCCATCGAAAGAGGGACGTCAAGATCTTATGGCTTGCATTCTTCCACTGGATCACTATTTTTGTGATTTTCCATTTTTCTAAAAAAGACTCAACAAAACTTAAATCAATTGACACCACAGACTCACATGACACACACGACAACTGGTATGACTCACCAAGACTCACTCGACAAACCGGGATTTTCTAACCTGCTCTGATACCAAATTGATGCAGGCAAAAAATTGAGAAGAGCCCCAAATTTTTGCGAGCAAATGATTCTCTTCCCAGAAAATAGAAATGACACAAAAGAACATAAAATACAACTTTTTATAATAAAAGATGACTCTTACAAACTTATATAATTAAAACAAACATCTTAAAACTCTTGACAAACATAAAACACTTAAAAAAGTTTTGCCAAACGTCGAGAAGAAGGATACAGGTGAGGTGGATACTTGCAGGAAGAATAATGAGATTAGAAGCCAAGACGAAGTATAACTCGCAAGCTATAGAGAGGAGAAAAAGGTGAAAGACAGCTCACAAGCAATTCCAAAGAACGAAGAAAAACCTCTCAGGTTTTTCTCCAAAAATCACAGTATAACCTCCATCCTTTTTTTATCCCAAAACAACTCTACTTTATAGGCAAAAGAAGGTAGAAAAACAGCCATAACACCTCCAACCAAACCCAATCAAATTTGGGTAAATGAAAAGCCAAAAGTCACCAAATGGAAGACCAAAAGACAGCAAAACAGCAGCAGGAATTCTGCACATAAAAACAGGGAAACAGTCCACAGAAAACCCACCAGAAGACCACGGGAAACCAGCCAACAAAGGATCCGAAGAGCCAGCACAAGAGACAAGGCAGCAGGCACTGGAAACCAGCCAACAAGGGAAAACCGAGAGGGAGAACCAGGGGAACATCAACAGACAGCAGAAACCGAAAAGGCAAAGGGAAAGGGGAAGAGAACCGGGCCATGGGGGGAAAGAACCAAGGAGGGGGAAACCAAGGAGTCAAAGGCAAGGGGAATGAACCTAATTAAAGCCAAATTATGAGTTGAAACATAAGTAGAAGCTCATTAATGAGCTGACTTAAGAAGAAACTTATAAAATTAAATCCCAACTTGTTTTGACCCCCCCCCCTGCCTACATCACATAATAATACCAAATGACTCACAAAACCTAATAATAACAAATAAAAGGACAAACAACACGTTTTAAACTTGTATATATTTTAGAATATAAAAACAACACCTAAACCGCTTTTCTTTAATTGAGAAGAAAGATACAAATGGGGTGGTCACTTGCGGAGAGAATAAATAGATAAGAAGCCTGAGACGAAATTATAGAAGAATGAGAAGACGAAGAGGCATAGCTCTCAAGCTATCCAAAAACCCTCAGGTTTTCTTTCCAAAAATCCTTATCAAAATCCTCTTTTACATGCTCTCAAAACATCACATATTTATAGGAGAAAAGAGGTAGACAAACAACCTCAATCACCTCCAGCCGAACAAACCCAAAAAAAGGAGCCAATAGACCAACAGGCAACGCCAGGAACAAAGGCCGAAAGGACCACACAGGGGACAGGAACGGGCAACCACGGGGAATAGGAACAGCCAGCCACGGGACAGGAGCCAGGCGGAAGAAACCTGAAAGGCCAACAGAGAGGGAGAGGGGGAATGAACCAGGACATGCATTTATGAGCTGAATAAAGGTTAATCTTATTCATAATGTTAACAATAAAGGTAGCTTAGATGATAGAATAATTAGAAATGTAGAATGGATCTAAAACTAGTTAATCATACCAAATAGGTTGATATTTTAGTAATCATAATAAAGAAGGTGATCAAGATTCAACGGAAACGTCAAGTCAATCTACCAAAGCGGATATCAACTATATGTCTCCATCATATGGAAGTTCATTGGCCATAAAATATCACAAGAGAAAGGTATGAGTACCCAAGAGGACAACAACATAATGGCTCAAGATGATGCAAAATGGGATGCTTCTTTAAGTATATTTATAATTATCTGAAAGTTATTTTTTATTTATAATGAAGAAATTTGATTTTGCCCTGATAGTATTGAACCTTTCCATGCTTGTATATAATTAGAATTGTTCATGGTCATTATTTATTAGATTGTTAAACAATTATTATCCATAATTATGCCTTCAGTATGTATTGCATTATGAAATGATGAACTGGTATTTCGATTCACTTATTCTCTCCCCTCCTCTCTCCCATGGTTTTCCCTTCTCTATCACATGACTAACTTCCTCTCTCTTCCATCCTATCCACCCAAAAACCCCAACTCTTTCCTAATTATATTGGGTTCTCTCAATTAGCCTAATATCTCTACCTCTCTATCTCTAAAAATATGATGAAGCTATGAATCCCAAAGAAATTTCATGGCTCCCACATTCTTGCATGTGTACTTAGGAGATCCCACTCTTTGTATCAAAAACATTGATGAGAATGACCATTCTCTCTCTATCGAAGAAAACAAGGGGAGTTGAAGGAGCAATTCCATATATTTCAATTGATCGCCTAATTAGGGTTTTTAGGAACAAAAAAATGTTAGATTTTAGTATCAAAGTAATCAACATCTACATTAATTGATATCAAATTCAAATGCTCATACATAACCAAAGGATTTGTGCATCAAAAGAGGGATTTCCCTCCATATTTATATTTGTAATCAAAGCTTCAGATTAAATGTATTGGTGTTTCAGATATCAAGACAACTTGAAGTATAGACTTTGGGAACATGCACCTCCTTTGCATTCAAATTTGAAAGGGAGTAGTTTGTATATCCATCGTCTTGAATCCCAGATCCAAATCAAGTATAGTTTCAAAACATACTGGTATCAATTTTGGATAAATTGATTCTCTTATATGATTACTATTTGGCTTACAATATCAATGGATTCGTTTTTAACGCATGAAGAACTCCAAAGTATGACAGTAGAAAAAAAAATGTCGTAAATCTAAATATACTAATAACCATTCCAAACGAGAACAACACACATGGATGTTCAAGCACGACTTATGTAGAGATAAACTTTGTTCAATTGTGAGATCAAACAATAACATAAAAGATAAAAGTAAAGCACGATGTGGATATGTGTTTCAACCATGATGATCTTCAAATCATAGAAAACAAAGCCGAAAAAATCGCAAAACCCTCGACCAAATGTAAAGTTCTGGATTCAAATATAGGGCAGGTAATGCTAAAAAAGGGAACGTACCCAGATCCCAAACTTGCAACTTTATATTATTGTATTGGACGGTTTCCACGTTGAATCCAATCGCTAACCAGTAAGAAAACACGATAAAATTACAAGAGTCAGCACACCTTAAATTGCAACAATTATGCAATGCAACTGAGAATATAGGATAAATTCATATACATACTTGGGATCGTAGAGACGACCTCACCCATTTGTAGCCGATCTGTATAAATAAAACATTAATCTAGAAAAAACAAAATCCGGGAATGATTAAGATATAGAATTGAGAGTGAGAAGTACACAGTATAGTAGTTTTCCCGGCATTGTCGAGGCCAAGCACAAGGATTCGAGCCTCACGGTTACCGAAAATGGACGAGAGCATCCGAGTAAACAGTATGCCCATAGCTGAAAATCGAGGAGCGGATCCTGCGGCTCGGATCCCCAACAGTCCACTCCGAATTTGGGCCAAACCCTAATCACTAACAACGAGATAAAATTCCCGAAGAAACTACTAAAGCAGATCAAAAGGGGAAGAATCAAAGGAGGGTATAAGGGAGATGGAGATAGGGGACGACCTAGCAGGTACAAAAAGAAGTGCGATGGTAGCTCAGCCTAATAGGCTTCCAGTTTTCCTCTTTCTGAAGCATTCGTGTGGGGAACCGATATATCAGTTGAAATAATAATGATAGTTATAAAAAAAAATTCATTTATTATTTTTTTAAGCAGTTAAAATTTTTATTTTAATCTTTTTTTTTTCAAATTATAAATGTAAGCCATAGAAATATTTTTGTTTGGGACGGCTTTCGTATTATTTCTTAAAGCAATTTTTTAGTATAAAATTTTAATTTTTATACTAAAATGTTGCATCAAAAAGCAGTAAAAATGTAGGCTTCGTTTGGGACGGCTTTTTTACTGCTTCTTGAAGCAATTTTTATACTAAAAAGTTGCTTCAAGAAGCAATAAAAAAGCCGTCCCAAATGAAGCCATAATCCCAAATGGAGCATATGCCTTTATTTAGGATAGCTTACTTACTATTTTCAAAAGTTATTTCTTAGTACAAAAAATTTTTGAACTCAAAATTTTATATTATAAAACTGCTTTAAAAAATAGAAAGAAATCTGTCACAAATTAAGCCTAAGCCTTTTATTTCAAAGCCTTTGAGAAGCTCTTGGTTGTGATCCCTTAGAAGACTTATTCAAAGGGTTAGGGTTAATGCATTATTTTATTTGAATATTCTCTATGCTTTGCTTCATCTTATTTTGTATTTTGTTCCAACCTATTTTCCATTTTGTTCAAACTTAATGTTTGATCATTAGCCTCAAAAAGAGCTCAACCAAGATTCATACCTTGATTATCAGTTTTAATTTTATTTGAACCTTGTTTGAAATGAGCTGATACTAGCATGTGTACGTTTTCTTATCAATGCATTTAATTATGAGAGCTATCATTCACAACTTGTGTGTGTGATCGTTGTTGGGCGACATTAGTCGAGAGATCATAATCAGATGATAGTGATATGCAATTGTGGTTAGGAGATTGTAGTCAATGATGGTGTTCGATGTATTATAGAAAGACCATTATGATGGTCAGCACGTGGCGTTCAAGCGATGATGGTCTACAGGCAGTTGCTAGGTGACAAAGATCTTGTCATAACTCGATCTGATACCACATAAGTCATACCGTGCCCGATCGTGATAAGAACCACAAAATATCTCGTTGGAGAAGCACTGAGGAATACTAAACTTCTAATTTAAACACACCACCGAGCCATAACTGAACATAGAATAAAGTGGAATACCATAGCCTAATATCAACTACTCATCTTGCTCCTTACCATTTCTCGACCTAAAAATGGGAGTGATAGCATGAGTAAGCTGACATGGCTCAGTAGGTCATCGTAGCCTAAAACATAAAATCAAAGGCTTAAACCAACAAGATTGAAAATATTGTATTGTAATAACAAACTAAAGTATTGTATAAAAAACTTTCAAAATTTTACAATATGCATTTAAATCCCTAAAATCTACTAAAAAACACATGCAAGCCTTCATATGCGCACAAAACGCTCTTAGATATGAGCAAAAGAGTTTAAATGTACAAATTTAATATATTACCTGACGTTCAATCGAGTAAGACCGTTTTGAACAAAACTCTTAATATGAAGGTCTCACAAAACTGATGGTAGGAGTCGGGCAATGTTAGTCCAATGACAAAGTTCAAGTAGTAGTAGCATAATCATATCGATCAAACCATGATAGCTGGGTGGTGGCGATCTTATAATTGTGTTCGAATGAAATTTTAGGAATCTTTAAATATATGAGCCCTCAATTCTTCTTCTTTTTTCCACATCATCTTGATAATGATGATCTATTTATAATTTTTTTAAGTGCATGTTTTGTAAATTTAGTCAACATTTTCAAAGCACTCCATAATATAACCCATATTCACATATCATTCTTTCATCATTTATTTGTTTTAATGATGTTATAATTGAGTGATACTATGCTTGTTGGATTTTTCTTATTGAGACACTCATTATGATTATAATTATACAAAGTTTATAGATCATTTGGTCTTATTATTAATTTCAGGAAGTTTTCAACATTTTAGTGCTTGATATAAGCTTATTTGGGTTTGGATTAGATCAATTTTATATTCAGAAGTTTGGGCCTCAAGTGGTGGTTCGGCAGAAGTCCGGGCATTATGTGGTTGTCTGACAAATGTTCGGGCCTCAGATGGTGGTCCAATGGAAGTCCGGGTCTAAGGTGGTGGTTCGGCGGAAGTCCGGGCCTCAGGTTGTTGTCCGGCGGAGCAATGATGTCAGGTGGTGGTCTGGCGGAAAATTGGGCCTCAGGTGGTGGTCTGGTGGAGCGTAAGGCCTCAGGTGGTGGCCTGGTGGAGCGTAGGGCCTCACGTGGTGACCTGGTGGAGCACAGGGCCTGAAGTGGTGGTCTGGCGGAGCAACGACGTTAGGCGGTGGTCCGGCGGAAGTTTGGACCTCAGGTGGTGGCCTGGTGGAGTACATGGCCTCAAATGGTGGTTTGGCGGAGGTAAGGGCCTTAAGTGGTGGTCTGGCTAAGCAACGATGTTAGGCGGTGGACCGACGGAAGTCCGGGACTCAAGTGGTGGTCCAGCGGAGGTGAGGGCCTCAAGTTGTGGTCTGACGGAGCAACGACGTCAGACGGTCGTCCAGCGGAAGTTCATGCCTCAAGTGGTGACATGGTGGAGCATAGGACCTCAAGTGGTGGCCTGGTAGAGCACAGGGCCTCAAGTTGTGGTCCAGCGGAGCAACGACGTTAGGCGGTGGTCTCGTGGAAGTTTAGGCCTCAGGTGGTGTCCTGGTGGAGTACATGGCCTCAAGTGGTGGTCTGGTGGAGCAACAACGTCAGGCGGTGGTCCGAAGAAGTTCGGGCTTCAAGTGGTGGTCCGGCGAAGGTGAGGGCCTCAAGTGGTGGTCCGACGGAGGTGAGGGCCTCAAGTGGTGGTCTAGCAGAGGTGAGGGCCTCAAGAGGTGGTTCGACTGAGCAACGACGTCAGGCGGTGGTCCGGCGGAAGTCCGGGTCTCAAGTGGTGGTCCAGCGGAGGTGAGTGCCTCAAGTTGTGGTACAGCGGATGTGAGGGCCTCAAGTGGTGGTCCGGCGAGATTCGGGCGGTGGTCGAGGAGGAGCTTTTTCCTTCTCTTCCTTCTCTTCTCTTCTTCTCTTCTTGCTTCGATCCCCCTTCAAGAGAAATGAGTGATCTATTTATAGATTTCTGGAGTGACATGACCCGTAAATAGATGAGAGATCAAGGGTAAATGGGGAGTGGTTGGATGGATGGCCGATGTTGAATCCCTTGATCATGGATCGTTTGATGGACATTTGAATGTCTTAGTGATGTCGGGATCTTGGGCTCGTTGGATTCGTCTCGTGGATCCGCTCGATTCGACTATAAGCACGTCACGTTTGGTAATCCAAATTGTGGTTCGAACCTTCCAACAGTGCTTCGAGTCCTTGATTTGGACTCATTTAAGCTCGGGGTCGAATTTGGTGTCGTTGAGTTCATATTTCTGAGATGCTCAATTCGGCTATAAGTTTGCTGAAATCGGAGTTCGAATGGTCCCATTTTTAATTTTGGAAGTTTCCAACTTGATTTTGCATCGAGATTCGTGCCCGATCAACATATTTTTTGAAGACATATCACTATTATTAAAAGAAAATTCCAATATGCTTCGCACATTTTTTTTTTTTGTGCTAGATAATACATCGTTTTATATGGTCAGTGCTAATAATTTTTTTGGTCTTTCTATGTTGGTAAATCTTGGTGCAGGAAGATGGAAAGAAAACCATACAACTAAGACCAAACTCTTTGTTTGAGTATGACAAAAATATAATATCTCCCTTTTTTGCCTATAAAGAGGTTCGGTTTTTAATGCTGAACTGGAACCAATTTACACAGCAATGATTTCTAACGATGTCCTCAGGTTGGACCTGTCATCGTTGGATTGGACAAAAATATAAACTACTACAAACTCTTGTAAGATCTTTATCATTTCCATGCATAGTAGTTTCGTTATAATGAAACTGTCAAACTAGAACCTTTATGGACACATAAAAAGAGTTTAGGGTAATCACAATGGGAAGTTTTTGCTAATTACTTTATAGCAAACCAAAAACAAATGTTGATACTTATATTGAACAGATATTGTAAGGATTATGGCATTATACTTGATATATCATCAAAAAAATTATCTTGATCAAACACGAATCCAGAGGAAAAATTAGGTTGGAAGCTTCAAAAATTAAATCTGGGACCATCTAAACTCCAATTTTAGCAAACTTAATAGTTCAACTGAGCGCCTCATAAATACGAACCCAACTACACCAAATTCAACTCAATCCGAGCCCAAAATAGTTCAAATCAAAGACCCGAAGCACATTTGGAAGGTTCAATCCATAATTTGGATTACTAAACAATTTCCAAATATGACATGTTTATAGTCGAATCGAGCGGCTCGACAAGACGAATCCAAAGAGCCAAAGATTGTCGAATTCTGATATCTTTAGAGCCTTCAAATGCCTGATAAACAGTTCACGATCAAGACATTCAACATCGGCCGTCCATTCAAACCACTCCCAATTTACCCCCGATCTTCCTCCTATTTACTAGCTATGCCATCATCAGAAAACTATAAATAGCCCCTCATTTTCCTTAAGGGGGGACCCAAACAAGAAGAGAAAGAGAAGAAGAGAAAAGAAGTAGAGAAGGAAGATAAGGAATAAGCTCCTCCTCGACCACCGTCGGAGTTCCTCCTGACTTTCAAGTGACGCCAGAATTCCGTCCGACCTCCAAGTGACGTTGCAGTTCCTCCTAACTTTCAAATGACGTCGAAATTCAGTCCGACCTCCAAGTGACGTTGGAGTTTCTCCCGACTTTCAAGTGACGTCGGAGTTCTGTCTGACCTCCAAGTGACGACGGAGTTCCTCCCGACTTCCAAGTGACGCTATAACTTTGTCTAAGTACCGACAGACACCAGTTTTCTATTTGATCGCCAACTAACGCTAGCATTATGATATCCGTTTGCAACTAAATTTCATTCTAAGAGTTGATTATTGTAATCTATTCGTTCTAAATTTTAAGGACGAGACAGTTTCTTGTCAATCAAGCAAACACTAGTGGAATTCTTTCAACTGGGCGTGACCCCGTGGTTTTTCCCTTTCTAGGGTTTTCCACGTAAAAATTCTGGTGTTTTATTTCTCTTCTGTTTTGTGTGCTGAATATCCATACAACGCTGAGAAGAAAAATTCTAACTCTATCGCCACGTATATTCTAGCCCGCAACAATACTTAACAAGTTTTGTGATGTTTTGCTTGGTTTGTTCTACCTCACCCATTTGTTCTACCTCACCCATTCGTGAGTATTAGCTTAATTTGGTTTTAATAATTATGTTCATAAAAATAGTTATTGTCAATTCCAAGCCCAAATTAAGAAGGTTGGGTGTTGATATTTGGTTGACAACCAAGCTTAAAACTCATGCAAAAAATAACAAAAAGAATCTAAATTAAAAATTTTCTAATGCTAGAAGTCTCACAGTAAGTGTAACGAGCAAAGAAAAAGTTCTTCTTTTGATGATTTTTATACATTAGGCTTGATATTATTGCAAGATATCTTGCAAGCAGAAAACCTTGAAGGAAGCTCAAAAATGGAGTCAATGTCCTTATGAGTGCTTATGGTCTTTCTTTTGCCTATATCTTTTAGCTCAATTGTGTTACTTATGGTCATAACGATTTATGAAGTGCCATCAAAAGAGGTTGGAGTGTCAGGGAATTGACAATCACTTTCTTGTCAAGCATATAGTTATTTTTACTTTCAAATGATCTCTCATCAGTTAGGACGTGACACATGTTCTCTAATTCATGCTTTAGCCGCAAAAAGACACCGCAAACAAACAACTATCATTGGGGCCTTTTGATTAGATAGTTTCGTTGCAAAATTGTATAATTAATTTACAGTCATGGCCTGAGCCTATAACTTCTCACTAGCTTAAAAATCCTTGAGAAGTGAATCATTGGGTGGCTGGGTGCACTTAATAGGACAAAAAACTCTCAATTAGCTAAAGTCAATTTAAATTTGTCCCCTTAGATATATATCACCCTAGATTTATAAGGTTTCTTGGATGCTACAAACTATGATTACTGATAAGACTTCTTCTATTAAGTTGGGTTGATTAACTTTGTTGACAAAGTAGATCAAAGTTCTAAACAAATCAGGAGGACTTAACCATGAGATATTGATCGAATTTGTCATCATTCTCCCCATCATCTATTTGAAATTACAGTTATAAAATTTCCAATCCTAAGCTAAATTTACTACTTTTATACGTTAAGTAGTTAGCAACTAATGACTAGCTTTAATCAAAAGCGCTCTCTCGTGATCAAGAGGGATAATAAACCATAGGAACTTATGCCTATAAGAAACTCGGAATCAGATCATGAAGTCATAACAAAATGAGACAAAATCTCTGGGTAGTATCGAACCAACAGAACCATGGTAGCCCACGCACTTGCAAATAACACAGATGCATAATTATGCATAGTTATTTGCATCTTCACAAATTGTGTTTTCTTTTAAATGTGTGATTATTTGTAGAGAATCCTATGCTTAAATACTTGGTGAAAAATTGGAGCTCTTCAGCTTTGAATATTCACTAAAATCTCCAAGTTACATATGCATCAATTCTCTTAGGAGAAATGCCTTCTGGAAAACTTTAGCTTGTTTGATTGTAACTGGAATGACTTTGTACCTGTCAGGTGGCATAATTTCTTTTACGGTTAACAAATTTTTTATTTCTGGTAGGTATGCTACTCTTTGTATTCGGCAAATTATTGTGTCCGGTGTCCGGATTCGTCCGGACACCAATAAAAACACGCCACGTCACTCAAAAATACTGAGGCCTAGTGCATCCGGGTGAGGTGGTATAATACTCAAAATCTTGTCAAAGTAAGCATATGATTTTCTCAAAATCTTATCCTACTATCGCCCACAAAAAATTAAAATGTCAAATTTAATTTCATTAAATTCTATTTTAAATTCTAAGCATTTTGATATAATAGTATACATGTATTCAGTTAATAGCTTAAAAATAGGTAATTAACATTTATTTAAATGTTTATCATCATAAATGATTAACCGTTAATCAATTTTAAGTTAATTATTAATTGTAGTCACTTTCCACTGACATTAGCTTTTCCACTAAGAGCAGCATGCAACCGTTGATTTGATCCTGCGACTAGTATTGTGAGCATTTAGTTAGTGGAATGTTAGAATATTATATTAGTAGTATATCAGCCCGTAGCACTCATCCCTTTTATTCCTCTCATCCATCCATCATCGGGATCACTGGAAGCCGCTGAAGGCCGCAGGTAAGAGGAAAAAAAAATGCTCTTGCTGGACTCTTTTGTGGAGGATAAATGCAGCACGTACAACACATAAAGATGAGGAAACCAGTGCTGTTGTGGAGGATAAAGTCCAAGTAAGGAAAATAGTGATTATTGAAATAACTATTGGCTGAAATCTGTAGTTGCTAAAAGGAATTCAGTAATGTTCACTGAAATTTATATTGCTGAAATGGTGAGGGTTGCATGGTTGAAATCTGTATTGCTGAAATGGTGTTGCTGTAATAAATGGTTGCTGAAATCTATGTTTTTGTGCTGAAAGCAGTGATTGCAAAGAGAAGAATAAATGTTGCTATTATAGAATTGTTGCAGTAGTTGTAAAAAATAAAAAGAAATCAGTAAGGTGAAGATTGGAAATTCAGAAAATAATAAAGAAATAAAAAGGAATGGAACTATAGAGAGGAAGAAGGGAGTACAAGGTGAGATTTTAGGTTGAATGTGTTCATTTCAGGTAAACCATTAAGAATTTTCATATAAGTTTGTGTTATTTTTATATGCATGCATGCATACAATAATACTTATGTTTTAGGTTGTATATAAGAGGAAAAGAGACAAAGGCACTGTAAGAGAACAAATTTTCCCGACTTCCCTAGAAGACGAGGTGAGATACCAAACGATGCATAGAAAATAATGAAATTTTATACAATTGCAAATGCATATCTGTTATATTTATGAAGCATTATTTCAAATTATTTCACTTTGTTTATATATGCGAATTCTTGATATGATTATGAAATTGGACATGAGAATGAAAGAGTATAAAGCTATTTAAGTCATATATGGGGGATAAGCCCGCACAAGTAAATGCGAAAGACCTGACAAGGTAAGCATACACTCTCAATTCTAGAAGTTGGGAATTAAGACCCAACCCTGAATGAGAGAGCAGCTTTAATTCTAAAAGTTGGGAATCTAGACCCAACCTTGAATAGGAAAGCTGAAAAAGGGTGCAGAAGCTTATAGCCATTATATGACTTGTTTAAAGATGTTGAACAATGAATAAGATGGAAAGTAATTATGCATCTCTTATGACCAGTATATAATTTACTTTTTAAATTAATGGTTAGCAATGTTGTTATTATTTCTTATACATTGTTTGTGTATTTCATTGGGTTATACCTCATTAGCAGTGGTTGTACTGCATGAAAGGGGAAGGAGCCCATAGGGCACTAAGGGGGTGACTGTTCAACTGTAAGCTATACAAAGACTTTTGGGTATGTAAGTAAAGTTTAAACGTTTTAGTAGAGCTCTGTATTTACATTGTTTATAATTGATGTTACGGTTGAAAATGACTCTGAGAGAAACGGAATGAATGAAGGCAATAAGTCTAGGGAACTTCAAGATATTGTGCATTTGATCTCACAAGTGGTAAATAAAATGACATATATGGTCAACAAAAAAAAATAAATCAAGACCAAATATCTACTATCTCGCATAGGTGACTTATTTGATCAGTTAGCAGGTGCCACATTATTTTTTTTTAGAATTGATTTGAGGTCAGGATATCATCAAGTGAAGGTGCAAGAAGTAAATATAAGTCAGTTATCTTTTGAGACTAGATATGGTCATTTTGAATTTGTCGTAATGCCATTCTATTTTTATGGATATGATGAATCAGTTTTTTTAAAAAAAAAAAGTATATATACCATTTTGTGATTATTTTATTTGATGATATTCTGATATACTCAAAGACTGATGATGAGCATGCTGAGGATTTAAGAGTAGTTTTGGAAGCATTGAGGAAAAATTCGTTGTATTCAAAATATTCAAAATTTGACTTTTGGCTGAGTATAATCTTTTTGGGCATATTATCAGTGGTGAAGAAATTTCAATAGATCCACAGAAGGTGAAAGCAATTGTGGAATGACCTATACCAAAGAGTGTTATAAATGTTCGCAAGTTCTTAGGATTAGAGGGATACTATTGGAGGTTTGTTAAAAGATTCTCACAAATTGCTATGCTATTGTCCAAGATTATGAGAAAAGCTGTTAAATTTGAATAACTGCATAATGTGAGAAAAGATTTCAGGCATTCAAGATGCATCACTAAAACACTAGTGTTGACCCTTTAATCAGGAATAGAAGGATTTCAGATTTACAATAATACGTCTTTGAAGGGTTTAGGATGTGTTCTAGTGCATATAAGAAAGTAATTATATATTCATCGAGATAGTTGAAGCCATATGAAAGAAATTATCTTGCTCATGATCTAGAGCTGGCTATAGTGGTATTTGTACTGAAGATTTGGAGGCGTTACCTGTATGGGGTAAGATGCGAAATCTTTACTGATCATCAAAGCCTAAAATATATTTTCACAAAACGAAGTAAATCTGAGGCAAAAAAAAAAATGGTCGGAGCCAATTAAGAACTATGATGTTGATATTCAGTATTGTCCTGGCATAACTAACATTTTGGCCGGTGCCTTGAGTCGTAAATCCATAAGAATGATGTATTAGATGATTACTCAAGAGGTTCAGTTGATCAAGGAGATGAAAAATTTGTAATTGGAGGTTAAAATTTTAAAAATGTGGAATGCTTACATCAGATGATAGTAAAATCAACCTTAACCATTTGTATTAAAGAGGCTCAAAAGGTTGATAATGAGTATCCAAAGTAAATGAAGTAGGTTCAATTAGAGAAAAGACTAGATCTTTCTGTTGATGCTAATAAAATCATTAAGCATAAATCTCAATTACGGTTGCCCGATGATCGAGAGTTGAAAAAAAAATTGCAAGAAGCTCATCATTCTAGCTACCCAATTCATTCAGGCAGTACCAATAAAGATTTGAAATTAATTTTTTAGGTGGCCACATATGAAGAAAGATGTTGATGAATATGTTTCTAGGTGGGACGCATGTCAAATTGTGAGAGCCAAAAAAAAATCAACGACTTATTGGATTACTACAATCATTATATATCCCTGAGTGGAAGTGGGAAGAGATTACAATGAATTTTGTTATGTTATTCCTCTGATCCAGATAGGTTATGACACCATAAGAAACACTTTATGGTAGAAAGTACAGAACCCTCTTAACTTGGGTTGAAGTATATAAAAAAAAAAACTAATGAGCCCAGGGCTAGTTGATGAATTAACAGAGAAAAACAGATTAATCAAAGACGGATTGGAACTTTCTTAGGATCGCCAGCAAAAATATTATGACCCTAAACACATAGTAATAGACTATGAAGTTTGTGACTTTGTATTTTTTTAAGAAAGCAGGCAAATTGAGTCCTAGGTATATAGCACATTTTGGAGTTATTGAAAGGATTGAGAGAGTTGCTTATAGACTTGCTCTTGAAGCTAACATATCAAATATTCATAACGGTTTTCATGTATTACTATTGACGAAAAGGGTTAAGGATTTCCACCAAAGAATTTCACTTGATGAAATTGATCTACAAAAGAAACTGATTTACATTGAAGATCCAGAGAGAATAATATACTTTGATACTAAATAGCTCAAAACTCGTTAGAACTCTTATGGTAAAGTGAAATAAAACATGAATCATAAAAGATATTAGATTGAAATTCTCTCAGTTATATGATGATCTCCAAGGCAATGAATTTCGAGGACGAAATTTCAATGAAGATGGGTGTATTATAATACTCAAAATCTTGTCAAAGTAAGCATATGATTTTCTCAAAATCTTATCCTACTATCGGCCACACAAAAAAATGTCAAATTTAATTTCATTAAATTCTATTTTAAATTCTAAGCATTTTGATATAATAGTATACATGTATTCAGTTAATAGCTTAAAAATAGGTAATTAACATTTATTTAAATGTTTATCATCATAAATGATTAACCGTTAATCAATTTTAAGTTAATTATTAATTGTAGTCACTTTCCACTGACATTAGTTTTTCCACTAAGAGCAGCATGCAACCGTTGATTTGATCCTGCGGCTAGTATTGAGAGCATTTAGTTAGTGGAATGTTAGGATATTATATTAGTAGTATATCAGCCCGTAGCACTCATCCCTTTTATTCCTCTCATCCATTCATCATCGGGATCACTGGAAGCCGCTGAAGGCCGCAGGTAAGAGGAAAAAAAAAGAGAAAAAGCTCTTGCTGGACTCTTTTGTGGAGGATAAATGCAGCACGTACAACACATAAAGATGAGGAAACCAGTGCTGTTGTAGAGGATAAAGTCCAAGTACGGAAAATAGTGATTATTGAAATAACTATTGGCTGAATGTTGAAGTATTAGGAGAGTCTAAATATATTTCTTTCCTTCTCTATTATACCCCAGTTTGATTGTTTGAGGGTGAGCCAAACTGGGGTGTGACAGGTGGCGCCTCTGGATTGGATGTCTGCATGTCAGGTGACCGGACACAATAATTTGCCTTGTATTCGTGAGAACCCGGGTGCCTTTTTATTGCTACCAATCGTGATACTGTTGGACATTTCACGGGTGTACAGGAATGGCTAGGTTCTTCCTCACTAAACTTGCAAGGAAAAATTATTATATGATTATTTAGGTAAATTGTCCCTCTCCATCTATTTTTCAGTCTTTATTATAAGGGTTTTTAGGCAATTGCCTCTCCCTAAAAGTTTTAAAATACTATAATCTTTAGGAAATTGCCCCAACACAATTAAACACATTATGTAGAGATGTTATTGTTATGGAATCAAAATTATCCTTACAACCAAAATTTGTAAAGAAAGACCAACAATATCCTTACAATAAAAAATCAAAAGAGAAATATCCTTACAAAGAGAAATGGTAAAGAAAATTCAAAAATATCCTTTCAATCAAAATTTGTTTCGAGGGCGCTGTCCCTTTGGACCCCCTATAGATCTGCGAAGCATGCAACGATCAAGGATATGAACAAATAGGGGTTAAGGGGCAGCGCCTCCGGAACAAATTTTTGTTTTAAAGATATTTATGATAAAAAAATCTCTATAGTTTTCCTTATTAGTTTGCCCCCCTGAAAATTGAACTTTTATTACGTCCTCTGACCGGATGTAGCTCTACGTTCGGTCAGAGGATTGTTACTCGGTTTTTGCTCGGTATTTGATCGATATTATTATGTATTCTTTGATAATAACGAGGAATACCGCTACGTGAAGATCAATACCGAGTAATACCGAGCAATACTGAGTAATCCCAAAAAATACCGAGTTTTTCTAGAAAAAACCCGGTATTTTTTGGGATTACTAGGTATTGCTTGGTATTTTGTCTTCACATAATAGCATTTCTCGTTATTGTTGGTATTGTTCAGTATTTGCTTGGTATTTCTTGTTTTGTGCCTGCGATCTTAGTGCCGGCCGAACGTAGCTCTACGTACGTTCACCGGACCAAATAAAAGTTCCTGAAAATTAAGGCTGGTCCCCCCCTGCTTGTATCATCCATTAGTTTAATATGAAATTCCAGTTTCATGACATTGGTTTGATACAATTGTAGGTGCGGGATGTATGGTTGCTGCTATATGTGAATCAGTGCAAAAGGAGCCCGTTATTGTCGGAAAACCGTCGACTTTCATGATGGACTTCTTATTAGAGAGGTATTTCACATGTAGATGTGCTAATTTCGTTATTTTGATGGAAATTTCTCGTTAGTTTATGGTACTTGGAAAAGCCGAAATAAAGTGTATACCGATCCAGGGGAAATTATTGGGTTCGGACATCGGACACATCTTACCGTTCGGTACTTCACAGTACCGAGCATACTGAGCTCGGTACTTAGAAGTACCAAGCTCGGTACTTCTAAGTACCGAGTTGAGGATGATGTGACGCATTTTTATTGGCTCCGGACGGCGTCCGGTGTTCGAACCCAATAATTTCCCCCAATGATCCAGGGCCAGTCTGGGATTTTGTGGGAGGGAATTTTATAGCAATTCTAACAAAAATTAGCAGTTAGTGAGTTACTGTGTGCTCGAGCAATTTTAAAAAACAAATGTTTTGGTTGACCTGCGTGGCATTAGGCGTACTATAGAATACAATAAGACATTTTTTTTTTCACATTATTGTTCTGTCTAAGGCTTCGTTTGGGACAGCTTTTTTCTGCTTCTTAAAGCAGCCTCCTAGTACAAAAATTTTAATTTTTATACTAGAAAGCTGCTTTAAGAAGCAATAAGAAAACCGTCCCAAACGAAGCCTAGGAGTTGAAAGGCCTTCTTGATGAACATAATTTGGGTCATATCCTGACTCAAATTCGAGCAGGATGAATTTGAAATCTATCGGATTTATTAAATATTTTTGGATTTATTTTGAGAGGAATGTATTTGTTGCTATTGCAATAAATATCATTATGATCCTGGAGATTTTTCAGAGAAATTTACGGCCTTAAGGTTTTGTTTGAGATAGCTTTCTTATCGTTTTCTAAAATAAATTTTTATTACAATTTTTTTATTAAAATATTACTTTATAAAACAATAAGAAAGCTATGGAGCGGCTTTTTATTGCTTCTTAAAGCGGCTTTCTAGTAAAAAATAAAAAAAAATACTAAAAAACTACTTTAACGACTTTCTTACTGCTTCTTAAAACAACCTTTTATTACAAAAGTTAAATTTTTTGCACTTAAAAGCTGCTTTAAGTAGTAAAAAAATCGTCTCAAACGAAACTTTAATCTGTTAAGCATATTACACTCATCGCACAACAACTTAAATGACTACAAAGTTCATTTTAATGAAATTTATTTCAAATATCTTAACCTAGATTTTGCTCCTTGATGGTCTTACTATTGATGATCTGCCGGTATCAGATTGATATTTCCAAAATGTGCATGATTGGTGATAGATTAGCCACTGACACTCTTTGGAAAAAATGCCGGTTGCAAGGCATTACTAGCTCTCTCAGGTCTGTAACATTTTTACCCATAGATCCCATACAATCTGATTTTGCTCTGCTAAGTAAAGCAGAAAAGCTACTTATTTTTCAATAATATAACCATTAAATTTGTTTTGTTCTGGCAAGGCACACTACAGTATCAAGATTAATGGATCAGTTGAACAGCATCCAACCAGATTATTATTGTTGTGTCCAGAAATATTCGCGACGATAGAGAAAAATGAAGTTTAGCGTCTTAGCATTGTACGAAGATCCAGCACGCAAGCATAAAGAGAGAGATCAAGACACCCGATCTTTTTTTTACGTGGAAAACCTGAAGAGGGAAAAACCACGGGGCCTCGTCCAGGTGAAAATATTCCACAAAACGAGTGAATTACAAGGGTTGACCCGTCCCTTGATTTAGAGGTGGTCAGATTACAGTAATTTGAAGAGCTAGTCAAAGGACCGATGACGGTTGGACAAAAATCCGACGAGTTTTGTGCAGAAGTTTGGCTGACAATGAACGATCCGATAAAGGTCTGGCGGTGAATGGCGGCCAGACGGTGGTCCGGCGATGGTCGGGCTGAAGTCCAATGGCGATCGGAGACTGGGCGGTGGTTCGGCGATGGTCGGCGACCGGGCAGTGGTTCGACGAAGGTCGGGCAGAAGTCCAGCGACGGCCGGACGTCGGTCCGGCGATGGTCGGCGGCCGGGCGGTGGTTCGACGAAGGTCAGGCAGAAGTCCGGCGACGAC